CGTTTACAGGTGCGCTGCGTACACGCGGGCGCCCCGAACAGCCAGAGACCGGCGGCCGGGCCTGGAAACGCCGCTGAAATTGCACTCCGCGGGGATAATGCGTCGAAACCGCCGACGCCGACGGCGGGAACGAGGGGTTTTCGACTGGCCGCGTTAAACCTGGAACTGGGGCGACGAGTTTCTCGGCTCGGTCCAGTTTTAGGACCCTTCGACTAGCAATTTCTCCTCGTCTCGGCACTCCGGGGCTGAAACTTTCGATTTCGCAGCCCGTCCAAGGGATACGGAAGTCGAAACACGGAACGATCTTCCGAGGTTTCTGAAGAATCGAAGGAAAGCTCGAAGTTTTTGTTACTCTGCAGTTTTCTCTCGATTTTCTGCTCTTCAATTCTCTATTACTCCACAATTCTCTATTACTCTTCAATTCTCTGTTAATCTTCGAATTCGCAGCCCGTCGAAGGTATACGGAAGTCGAAGCACGGAACGATCTTCCGAGGTTTCTAGAGAATCGAAGGAAACTTCGAAGTTTTTGGATTTTCGAGCAGCAGAGGGATCTTGTTAATTGGGAATTGCGGAATTTTTGGTTCTCGAGGACTCGATAGTCGAGAATTGCAGGTTTCATTGGGACTAGAGGTTAAAGGGGAATGAAGATCGATTTCGGATCAGCTAAAGACTCATCGGTGGTATCTTCCCGACGATTTGTCAAGGTTTCTAGGGCAACCCGGTGAATCGAAGGTTTCAATAACTCAATGTCAGATGCTCCTCCGAAGATTAAACTGGAAAGTTTCGCGAAGCAATTAACGGAGTTGCCGGATGATAAATCGATCCAGACACCTGATTCGTGTTACTCGTTTCACTGGCACTCGGCCTGTACAGTTACTGATTTGAATCTCCGCTCATTTTCGCCTAATTCCTACGTCGCCGCGGTTGCTATCCAGACGCGCTCTTTAAACAATTCACACGCGCCGAATTATGAATAATTCCGTCTTAATGCAATTATGTTTCATACGTCGGTGAATATTCATCGTCGGCGTTAGCGATTTCTCGTTAACGAGTCCTCCGGGGAAGTTCGAGGCCGAGGAATCCAGAAAATTTCAATCCCCCCTCTCTCCGCCCCCGCCCCGCGCGGGTCGTCGAAGAAAGAAACGCCGGCAATTTGTCGTAAAAGGAAAAAGCGCGGATTAAAAGCATCGCGCGGTCATTAGAATTACTAATTGGTACGGTGCGGCGTTTTATTCGGCCTTAAAGTGTGCTTTAACGGCCCTCGAAGGAACACTAAACCGGCGAATAACACAATAATCCACGGAATCCCCGTACACTCTCATTTTTTATTTCGAATTCGTTTCACACACGCTCATTTGCATATTCGTATACGCTACAACTTCCTCCTCGCGCACAAAAGATCGTTTTCCCGCACAATGGCGCATTAACCCATTCGCCCTGCCGTTTCTGTTTCGAGTTTTCGTTGTCTCCTCGCGAATATACGTATATCCACTTTCGTAATGAATCTTGTTTCCACCGTTTCTCCAGTGTCTCTTGCAAGCTCTGCCCCATAATCTTCTCTCGTTCGAATAAATTACAAATGTATCCAACCGTTAACCGATTAATCGACAACCGTTAACCAAGGATCATCCTCGAAGAGCGAGAACCCGAAGAAACGAGTCCTGCTCCGATCCCCCAGAATCCTACGACGAAACCGGTGGGCGAAAGGGTGAAGGTCGCGGCAAGGAGAAGAAAAAGGAGAGAAAACGTGGAAAGAAATCACGAAATCACGGAGGATAGGACGGGCCGCTGTGTGTGCCAGGTCCGGGCCGAAGGATGAACGGAGTCGATGGCGCGTACACGATCCATCTGCAGTGGCGTGCGAACATCGGCGTTTTCAGAACTCGTAACAGCATCACCTGGGAAGATAGCCCAGCCGCGCGAAAGGCGGAGAGAGAGAGAGAGAGAGAGAGAGGAGAGAGGGAGAGAGAAGGATTCCCGTTTCGCCGACAGCGGGACGTTACTTCCCTTCTGGGAAGAAGCTATCCTATTTAAGTATCCCCGGGCACGCCATCGGCGAATCCCGCCGCGCGCTGCAGGTCCTTTTGTTTTTTCCTAATTTTCTTTTCCAATTTGTCCCTCTCTCTTTTTTCTCTTAATTCCCCGAGACGTTTCTTTTTTCCCCCGGTCGGCTGTTTGCGTTCTCCGAAGGAGGCCCGCTCCGTTCTCTCCTGCCGAGTGGAACGAAAGGACCATTTTCTGGCCAGCCGGCGTGTACGCGCGCACGTGAGCGCAACGTTCAAAGGAGGAATCGATCCCCACGGGAATCGTAAACGTCAATTTCGCGTTTCGCGGGCTACCAACCCCGATGGAATCCCCTCGCTTTCGTCTCGAATCGTAAAGTGCGGCCAATCTGCGGCGCATTGGTGCCGGGGATGATTTCAGCGACCTGCGACCGTGGACGCCGAGGATCGCTCGATCCTCTCTTGCCCGCTGAGATTCCCGAGTGTACTTGCCGATCTGGAAATTACAGTTTCGTTTCTAGTTTTGGAAGCCTTCGATGTCGATCGCTTCGAGCGTTTCTCGCTGACGCCTTTATTCATCGGTTTTCGCGTTGAACTTTAACACCAGCAACTTATCAATTCGAGAACTCGACAGCTTAGAAGCTCGAGAAGCACGGCACGGCTGAATTTTTTTTTATTCTTAATTTACCTCTAACAGTTTAGAATAATAATTAGTAATACAATTGGGCATAATATATGACACATTGGTAGCGACGGAGCCACCATAGTGGCGCGTCGTGGCCAAGAGGTTAAAGCTTCGAGAAGAAACTCCCATGAGCCGCGGGAACAACGATGCATCGCCGCAGAAGAGACCCAAACAATCCTGCGGGACTGAACCGTTCGAAAACGTTGGCACCGCCGTTGGAAGCATAGATCACGGGTTCGCGGGCCGGGCCCATGCTGCGGGGAACTGGGTTTCGGTGGCCCGGGGCCGTCTCCGTCGCGCACGCACGCACGGACCGTAAAACTGGTCCGGCCGGGTGCCGGCCGTAGATCCGCAGCCCGCGGCTGCATCGTGAGACGCGCCGTTTTTCGGTAGGGCACCTGATCCGCGGCCGAAACCTGCCAGCGAGGAGGGAAAGGGAGAGACAGAGGAAGAAGAGGAGAATAGGCAGCCTAACAGCGATCCTAATTCCCCGAGCGGGGCGCCCATTACGATAATGCGTTTAGTAGGAAGCCTTCGGCCCTCGATCCTCTTCCTCTGCGCGAAAACAGGTAGTGCGGAGTAGCTGAACCGAAGACGCGCACCGGCCGCGTTCGGGGTGCACCGGAGGAAGATGATGATCAACGGAGGGAAAAGGGATGTTCGGGTGGTTAGGACGGCCAACGGAGAGGCAGAGGGATATATGGGTGGAGAGAAGAAAAGAAGAACGCCTCTTTCCCAGAGCCGCAACGCGCGCGCTCTGTGTATACGCTGCTTACTCTCTTTGTGCCGGATGCGTGCCGCCGGCGGAGTAGCAATAGCGGACGAACGTCCGGTCTGCCCTCCCTCCGATCTATCTCTTTCCCTCTTTACTCGCTGCCTCCTACTCTCCGTGTTTACCTCTCTGTTGATTCCCTTGCTGTCTTCTGCTTGCACTTTATTCCTGTCTTTCGAATTTTCTGGCTACTCTTTCATTTGCCTTCGTCTTCGTCCTCTCGATTTTCTATACTTCAATTCTCTTTTACTTTCTAGTCCTTCTTTGATCCTCTTTTGTTCTCTGATCTTCTCTGCTTTTTACTGTTGCCTTTGCCTCTTTTACATTCTGGAATTCTCTGCTTTCATTTACCTTTCCTTCAGTTTCATTTTCCAATTCTCTTTGACTTCCTAGTTCTCCATTTTTTACTATCTATTGTCTCTCTGTTTTCTGTTCTGGAATTCTCTGCTTTCCTTCGCCTTTCCTTCAGTTTCATTTCCCAATTCTCTCTGTCCGTTCCTTGTACTTCAATTCTCTTTGACTTCCTAGTTCTCCGTTTTCTACTATCTATCGTCTCTATCCCTTTTCTGTTTTGGAATTCTCTACTTCCATTTACCGTTCCCTCTCAGTTTCATTTCCCAATCCTCTCCGTCCGTCCATATTCTTCTCCGTCGATCTCTCCCTGGTCGTCTCCGTCCCTCTCGGTGGACGCGTCCATCCCGGTCCCTCGGCCGAGGCCGATGCACTTCGATCGCATCATCGGGCGCACCTCCTGCCCCACCGATCGACACGCTTAATTACTCTCGCGTTTCGGTTCGTGCCTCTTTCGACCGGGCCCGATTATCGGCGGCGGCCGCTGCGCTACGTGCATTGCTACGTGGATACATAAATGCATCGAGAAAGGGAGTCGGTTGTTGCCGGTGATGTAGCGGTGATGCGCGAACGGTGTTCGTGTTTGAAAACTGGACCACCGTCGATCGCGAGGAGGCTGGCTTTTCGGTTGGTTCCGCCGATCGTTCGTGGAACGAGGCTCCGTTCGAAGGGGAATCAGGTGTGGAGAGTTAATCGCTGGTAAATTGAAAGCGAGTGTCGGTGGTCACCGGGAAATCGCTGGGATTGCCGGCTGTTGGACTTTTGGGGGGGGAGTGATGTTATTATATACCAATTGAAACGGTTGTTGCTCCTTTTGGAGTACTGTTCGTCGAATTGTACGTTTCTTCTTCATTTCGATATGGCGTTCGCGTTGAAAATTGAGAATCTAATGATCCTAAAGGAGACTTTATCCTTACAGTTCCCTCGAAACGATCGTTTCGAAGATTTTCAACGTAAACCCCCTGCGGAATAATTATCGACAGCGTTATCGTTAAGGGAATTTATATCTAATAAGACTCATCGATAACGTCGACGAGCTCCGCTCGAATTCTCTCGGTAAACGAGCGAACAAAGCGTTCGTAGGATCATCCCACGGATCTCTCTCATTATTAGAAGCTCCGCGATGAACCGCATCGATAAGGCGATCGATAACAATGTATCTAACCGATCCCCTTTCTCCCGGTTGCAGAGAAGGTGCTGATAACGAGGCTGACCACCCAGAAGTGGCTGGACGTCGGTCCGAACTGGACCGAGGACGAGTACAGGAGCGCCCACTCGAAGATGGTGTACGAGTACCGGGTGACCTGCGTGGCCCACTATTACGGGAAGGGCTGCGAGAACCTCTGCAGGCCGAGGGACGACAATTTCGGCCATTACAGCTGCAGCCCGACCGGCGAGAGGGTTTGTCTCTCCGGATGGAAGGGCGACTACTGCAATACCCGTGAGTAGACTTCTATAATTCCCTCTCTTCCTATACTCTCTCTCTCTGCGTTTCACTCTCTTTCACTCTTCTGTTTTCTCTTGATTTTCTACTCTCCAATTCTCGCTCTTCTTTGCTTTGGAATTCTTTGTCTTTGTCTTTCTGTTGCTCTTCAATTTTCTCTGTTACTCTTCAATTCTCTGTTACTCTTCAATTCTCTATTACTCTTCAATTTTCTGTTACTGTTTAATTCTTTATTACTCTTCAATTCTCTATTACTCCTCAATTCTCTATTCTCCTCAATTCTCTGTTACTTTTAAATTCTCTGCTACTCTTCAGTTCTCTGTTACTTTCGAATTCTCCCAGTTACTCTCCAACTCCCTGTCGCTTTTTAATTGCAATTCGCTTTATTTCTCTCCGCGACGTCTCTCGTCCGCCGTTCGCGCGCTCTATTATCGTGGCAGCGCGGCGTGCACACGTACACGATGCGCGCACGACACTCCCACGCTTCCCATCGCGACTGCAACCCGCGTGACATCCCTCCTTTTGTCGGAATTCCGTGTATGAAATTACAGAGACGATCTCTCGCTGCTCTCCCCCGCTTTTTTTACGTTCGACGCCCGTTGTCTTTCTTTCGCCGGCTCCCGTTTTCCACGAGGTAACCGGAGACCAGAATTTCGCCGTTTTTTGGGGGTTGATCCCCGAAGGGGTGGACCGTGGGCGTTGGATTACGCGGGAATTCCAGCGCGGTGAGAAAGGTGACGAATCGCTCGGACTGCGCGGGGAATTTCGACCAACTTCGTCTCGGATTCGTTCATTTCGTATTAAAGTCTGTTCGATGTTATGTTCCACAGATATTCTGTTCGCTTCTCAAGTTCTTGATAGTTGCATTGTAACAATCGAAAATGTCCAGCGAAGAATCACGCGTTGCGAAACATAAAACTCAGTTTCTTCGAGTGCATAAAACGGGATAGAGTAATATTATTAATAACGTATCTCACCGATCGAAACGAGTAACCTAAATCAATACTCTCACGCGATCCCGCAAAAAGTCCGTGGTTCGCCCATTAACGTTCGATATCTAATAATCAGTGATTAAGCGCGAGCCCGATACTTCTTTACCAATTCCTCAGCATCGATTACTCTCGTGAAGCAACGAGTCCTCTCGAAACAACCCGGCCGAGCCGATCCTTCCGAGAAATATCGCTAAAAGAAGCCCAATGAAACTTGTCTCTGATAGACCGCGGGTGCGTTAACCAATCTATTAATAAGCTTCCGGTAACCGAGCCATGGGACTTTCGCAGGAAACCGTCGCCGTGTATCTGGCGCGCATAAAACCCCAATAAAATGTACCCGAACCCGGGGGACCTACTTGAACAACCGATTCATCGATGAACGCCTCGATAACCCGACCTGTCGCGATCCCCTGTCCCAGGGATTCTCAAAGCGATCGACAATCGACGTTGATTTTCCATCGAGGAAACATTCGAAAATACGGTCTATATATACGGTCTATAATTCTGAAACCCTTCAACCTTCTACGCTGCAGATCAATTCCGAGATTTGTCGAAGTCTCGCGCGAAGAAATTTCTATTCACTTATCTTACGCAGATACGTACCCTAATTTCGTTTATTAGACACATTAAAAAATAATGCAAAACTCCTTGGCACGTCTTTCCAGTTTAACCCCTTGGCGTACAATTTACTGTAGCCACTAAGCTCACGTACCATTTTACTATCGACAATTTGGAAGATAATACGATGATAATATCAAAATAGTTTGCTTCGATCCGTAACGAATACCATCGATCGTTAAATTAGTCTAGAAATCATCACTCGTCATTGTACAAGGGGTGAATACGTTGAACTCGAAGGTTCCTTATTCAAAGGCATTCCAAAGCATCAATTTCCACCGATCCAATCCCTCTTCAACTACCACTCATCCTAGAAAAGCAGCTGCTCCAGCCCATTAACAGAAAACGGAATAATCACCGTATCCTGCCACATCGATCAAAGTATCAATAAACCGAATCGCGGCGACGCGTAGAAGCGAACGAGTCCCAACGGAGATGATCGTGGCCTAATCTCCGGCGGCAATCCCCGAAAAGCCCGAAGTCCTCCAGCGAAGCCAACAGCACACCGGCGTATCCTCTCTCCAGGTCGTTATATAACTCGTCCGTGTTTTATAAAGCGGCGGGTGAAACGAAACTCGGCTCGGCCGCGAGAAGGAGAGGCCCGGTGCAGCGCGCGGAGAGGCAGCGTGTCGGTGCAGCAGTCGGGTCCGAGCGTGCAGCAGCTTCC